TCCGCATATGTCCAATACGTGTGCAGATACGTCTGCTTCCGTTCCCAGATGCATGGCATCCTATTCCAGCATAGCACTTTTAGGATCTTACTTTTAGTTCTTCTGCCAAGTTTTTGTGATGCCAAGTGGTTCTCCAGTACCCATTTTCAAGGTGTTGCAATTGCTCCTACTCATTGAGTTTTCTCCGGTCTCTGATTCTGGTCTTGTCATACAGAGTGTTTCATTCAATCTCTGTTTTTCTATTTCCTGTGTCAGCCGTTGTTCGATTTCTTTGGTCGTCAAGTCTTGTTTCAATTTGTTGATCTCCTCTGCAGCTGCTCTCTCGTAGTTTATCTTTAGATTATCTTTAGAGAGTTTCTCGTCTCGGTCCCCGTGGCAATTTTGTTTTTTGTCACGGCCTTCACGGTCTTTGTTGATAATTCACCACCCGCTGCTTCTTTGTTGTTCAAATCATTTTCAGCTTGTCTGTTCCTGGTATTTTGCACTGCAGCCAGTGTTTCGGGTGATTCTGATTCTTCGCCGCCTCCCAAAACAATGGCCCATGTCATGGCATCTAAGTGAGGAAAATTTTGGTGAAAAGAAACGGGTTTTGGGGTTTTTTTTTGTACTAGAGCTCTAGAGGTGGTACTGGGATAATGGATCAGGTATCCCATTGTTCTACATAAGGCACAGGAGAATTGGTATTTATGTACCCTCCTAGGACCCTTAGGGAGGTCTTGGTACACTTTGGTACGGTCGTAGTACTTTTATGTACCCTCCTAGGACCCTTAGTGTTCTTTTGGGACACTTTGTTACTGTCCCAGGATTTTTCTGGACCCTCTTAGGACCCTTCGCTCAGACTTTGGTACACTTCGTTGCTATCCCAGGACTTTTCTGAACCATCCTAGGACCCTTATCTAGATGCCCCAAGTGTTGGGACACTTAGATCACTATCCCAAGACTGAGTGTTGGGACATTTAGATCACTATCACAAGACTTCCGGCAAGACTCTTGTACTTCTTTTATCTTGTAGCTGAAGTGTTTCTTCGCCTGATTGAAGAATTCCCTTGTACCTTATGTCGAATATTGGGATACCTGATCCACTATCCCAGTACCACCTCTAGAGCTCTAGGGTAAATATAATCCCCAAAAGCCAATTCTGTTCACCAAAACTTTCTTTACTTCGTCTCCTAAAATTACCTTCCCTGTTTCACTCCGAACACCGAAAAAAGTCGAAATACGACTCGTTTGTTAGTCTGAAACTCGAGCCGATTCGTTAAAATAGCCCTACTAGTGGTCTTATGGGGTATTCTCCGTTTGGGTTCCAAAAACTGTCTATTTCCGATCCCCTCACCCGATCCGACCAGGTTACCTACCTTAATTCGATCTCAAGTTTGGATCCCCTCGCGTTGCAACTCTTGTTCTGAGTCTATAGATGGATCTTTTTAGACTCTGGGTCTACTTATGTAGCTAAATTGACGATATTGATTAAATAGTTACTATAATGTGTCCCTCCTTTTTACAATTTTGTACCGCCAACCTCTATCTTAACCAGCCCTTCTTCTAACCTCCCCCCTATCTAAACCCCCACTTACGCCGAAAAACACCCTTAAGCGCAATGGGTGCTAAACCTTTCTAGAAAAAGTCCGTAGAACCTGTTTCCGAGCTCTTCTCAAGTAAATATATTTCCTCAAAACAGTGGGTATCCGCTTATCCAATTTTAAACTTATTTCCTATAATGTAACGTGGATTTTATTGATACCCGGTTGACCAAACAGAACACCTCTGAGGGCCTTCCTCCGTTTGCTCTGTTCTGCTTTGATCACACTGCTGGCTGGTCACCTGCCGGTTGATCACACTTTCCCCCTGGGCTGGTCACCTGTTCCAGTCAAGTCTCCCAGTGGTCAAGTCTCCCAGTGGTCCGCTTTCCCACTTCGTTGGTCACCTCTTCCAGTCAAGTCTCCCAGTGGTCCGCTGATGTCACAAGCTATCTGAAAACATTACAACACCCCACACTTGGGCACCTGTACAACGTTGCTGATTTGATCGAGATGATCGGTCTTATTGGAAAACAGTATGGGTATACTATTTTAATTAATATAAAGGTTAGATCCACCTAATTTGGAAGTCAAAGCCACTGTCTTTTTTGAGGTTTTATTGTTTTTTGTTCCTGTTTCTAACCTTTTTTGGTTTTCTAATTCGCTTTTCGTCTTTTACTCGTTTTTTTTTGTCCCCCTAGTTGCCCCCTTTACTCGGCTAGCTAGGCCTCATTTCGGAAAGCACATCGGCAAATTTTCTCAAGTTTTCTTGAAAAGCTAAGACGGTACAACCAGAAGGTGAACATGTTCCCGTTGAACCGTACCAACGGTACTCTAGAATGGGCATGTAGCAGGGAGCTGTGTCAAGTAGGTTTAATCCCGTAGTCTTGATGTCATAAAAACAACCAGGAGCGCCACAAAAAAAACTATGTAACAGTCGCCTACTTAAGTTAAATATGAGGTTGAAGAAAAATAGGCCCTATAACCATTGGCTCAAGAGTCAGGGACACTATCTCATGTGCTTTTCTACCTCAAGCGGTCGGAGCCAATTCGGTTCAATTGCGACATGAGACTAAAACCCGCGTTACAGCTTGAAGGCCACTACCAAAATACCCCCACTCTAAACAATAAGAACGCCCCCATACTCAGGTCTCAAATTACTTAAAATACGTGATAGACGTTAAAAACAGGGTCGGAACCTTATGTATAGTTAATTTTTTATTAGACAGTGGACCTTTGATCCATTTCAGATGGATCAACCTGAAAACTCTCCCTAACTCAACATAACAACATAAATCACACTCAGAAAAATTCAATTAGCTGCTCACATACCGACATGACCTCTAGAATTGAGTAACTAAACTATAAAGCAACTCCAGAATTGATTGGGTAATTAGGTTCAACTCAGGAAGCCTGAAATAAGCAAATTTTAACTCAAGAAACAAGTTTTTGGTATGGACATTGGGACGCTTCAGCTGTTCACCTTTCCACCGAAGGCTCCACCGAAGACTCACAAATCAAGACTAAATGCTTTCTCAAAGTCAAACTTCCAAATATGACCGACTGGCGCTTAATTCCCGGACTCAAGATCGATGTCCTCATCGCGTGTTGTCGTCTGTCAGTGAACCCCCAGAATAATGAGTGCGTCTCAAGATACAGTGCCAGTGGTCATATACAGAAGTTTGCAGCAGATTTAACTTTATCTACAGCCCAAAATTCACAACCTTGCAAAATTGTCACATTATCGCTAAACAGCAATCAAAGTCTGCATACACGTGCCCCCTGAATTTCCGCTTTGTAAGCCAATGATTAAAAAATTTTTTTGTTTTATCCATTCAGAAAATTTTCATGCAGAATTTTGATTTAAATAGTGAATATAATATACTAGTAACAAAGTTTTTTTATTAAAATTTCTTTTCCATGCCCTCAGATTTCGTCTGAGTTCACACTCAAGACCCTTCTTCTTTCCCCCGCTCACGACTCAAAAACCAATCCCTGAACACCCTCTTCAGTTCGTGCCCCTTGTCTTCGAGGTACTGGGTCCTGACACACTCGACATCGTAATCTGCCTTACCAGTTCTTCGTTGCCATCGGAACTGATTACGATCTCTTCCCATGCCTTCAGCTGTTCGTCTCTTCCCATGCCTTCAGCTGTTCGTGGGCCCGCATCCACTCCCTTTGCTCTTGTAGCCTCTTCGCCTGATCCGGCAGACCCTTCACTTTAGATTCCCTAGTCAAGCAAAAAGAATTGTGCAAACTCAGGCCCATGTTCTTCGCCAAGTCCTCCTCCAAGTCCTCCTCCAAGTCCTCCTTCAACTCTTTTCCAACCCGTGGTTATCGCATGGGTTAGCGAGGGTCTCTTGAAAGCTTCCGGCCCTATCTCGGCCAGGAACTTTCGATACTCCGATACTCGTTCTGATGCTTCTTCATGTGATCTTTCGTCTTCGTGTACAACCAAGTCGTCACCTTTGCTCGAAAACATGGGAAGAATCTTATGCGACCTCTCACGTGCCTCACCTCCATGGGTATAGAGAAAACTTTGCACGCAGTCTCAAACAACTCAAGCCTCCGGTTGTAATCAATGGCGTGTATCGATTCCGCTGTTGGTGCCCTCGACTCTCGATATTTCGTCACGTTTTCCTCGATCCACCGCAACGCGAGCGTCGAGCTCTCCACAAAAAGGGTGACCATCTGCTGATGGTTGGGTAACCCGACTGACCGAATTTCTTCCACTGCTATATCAAGTTGAGGTTTGAATGCTCCGGATACCATACTGTCTGTGCCAGGCAGTGGCATGGGCATTCCTTATGTGTCAGGTTGATACTCCGGAGGTTGCTTTCTCCCGAAGCTTCCAACAGAGGTTCAAACTTCATCATTTTCTCATGTGTCACGTCATTTTCAACCAACTGCTAGATTCCTTAAAGGAAAACAGTGATCATTTTGATTCTTTCTACCATTTCTACAAAACTTTGTTTCAGTTCACTGAAGATACAAAAGACATGTTCGAATTGAATAATCGTGACACACGGATAAATGACAAAAAAGTGATAACGAAGAAGGTCAACTTCGAATTGCGGAAAAACTTTTTTACCATTAGATCAGCTACAGATTGGAATATGTTGCCGGAGAATTAATTGACTCGAAGACCTTGAACGCTTTCAAGAAAAACCTGGACAATTATTGGAAGAAAAGCGGAATAAATAAATTTGAGACGAATTAATCGAAAATGAGTACATCATGAGCTGATCGATAGAAGCGACAAAATGCCTAAAAAATCAAAAAACAACTGAACTGATCTGAACTGAGTTAACTTAAGTTTTTGGCTCAGTTGGCGCTCAATATTGTTTTTCGAATTTTTATTCAACGCCTTCGAATGTGTTTCTGGAAGTGTTTGCGCCAAAAAACCTTATTCCACACTGCTTTTTGAAGTTGTTTATTTTTTTTTACTGTTTTTGGATGCAGTGGCTTTCCTTTTCTGTGTGCTAGCTTGCAATTGTGTTTTCATTGTGATCTCAAAAGTGGGGTGAAGCTCCGCTTAGCCTCTGTGTTCATTATTGTTATTTGAATTTCAGGTGGGCGTTCCTGGCCGTATAGTTCCCGTAAGGAATTTTTATAGCTTATTTTTCGTGAAGCGTACAGATGTTTCACATCCAAAGACATGATTGTTCCCTTCGAAACTTCGAATTTGCTGTCGTTTTTTACCCAAATCTTCCTTAATCAGTGTGGTCGGAACATCTGTGGTACTTGCACAGTAACCGGCTATCCGTGTTCTTTTATGCGTCTTCATTTCCAGAACTGTTGGCTGCTAGTTTGGAATGCAACTGAGAAGATTATTTTTTCTTGCCGGTGGAATTAGTGGACTTATCCTTGTGTGGCACTTCTGCAAGGGGAGACGACATATAAAAGTATGAAATATTTATGCGTGCTGCTATAGTTCAAAAAAGTTGACTTGTTTGATAATGTCTTGTTTCAGCTCGCAAAAACGGCACCCTTTTCCAAGGAGTCAGCGAAACCGAGAAAAACAAGGCTAAGAATCATGGTGTCATATTTCGGATTTAAAGAAGCTCAAAATGTTATAGTCTTAGCTTCATTTTTTTGAGTCCATAAATCAGATTTTGTGGTTTTCATAGTCATGGAATTTGTTTATTACAGGACACTGCTCTTGTTCACCGCTCAATAAATCTTGCAGTTGATGCAATTGTTGGGTTACAAGCGTCGAATCAGGTTGACAGCGAAAATGTTGCTGCGGCTTTTGATTTGCTGAGCAATATCGTTTGTTATCCGGAAAGTCTTGCATTTTTTTCAGTAAGCTCAAATCCTCACTTTCTCTAAAATTGTCATAGTATGATGATAACTTTGAGTTTATCCTTGTTTTTAGCCATCGTTTGTAAAAGTTACCACAATTTTCTGGGACAACTCAAATAATCTGGGGAACCAAGTTGTCCTAGCTGGGCTGAAGTTTTACTCTCTTGTAACTCTGAACGAAGAGTTTTTGGGTAAAGTTGCTACTAGTTGTGTAATTCCCTGTGTTGAACTTGTCGAAAATAGTTCGGATCCGGAGTTGCGTCTTAGTGTTAGTTTTTTTAAACAGTTTTGTTAATGGATTCCGAAGTTTCATATGATTTTGTTTGTTGTCTTTAGGCCTTAAAAGTGTTGGTGAATGTTTCATCTTACACAAAATGCAATTCATTTATTCAAGAAGCGCTTTCGGTTCAAGTAAGTAGAAATCCAGAATTTATTGCACTCGTGTTTAATATGTTTCTTGCAATCGGAAACTAGATCCCTTTCTACATAAATGAAATAGCCACTAAAAATGACGCAAATATTTTTTGCCTGAACTGAGCTCTATGGATGACTAAGTTGATGTGGAATAACGAATGCCACATTTATTAGCGCCCTTAAGTAATTTTTGAGTCTAAATGTCGGTTATGCACAGGAAAATACCTGGCATGATACTGCGTAAGCTAAGCTCGCCGATACGAACAAAACATCGCCAAAACATAGCGGCATAGAATTATCTTTACACTTGCGAGAGCAAGTGTCTTGTAATCGGGAACTAGTTACCGTAAACCAGTTTTACAAATCTGTGAGAAAGTTTGAAGTTGCTTTATTAGTAAACCTGTGCAACTTCGAGACTCTTTCCCTCTTGGCCGAGAAGAAACGCGGTTGGCTTTGCACCTCAATGGCTGAGGTCCGAGTCCCTGGCGGACCTTGTTTTTTTTCATTATGTATGAATTTGAAAAAAAAATGTTCCGGGAAAAATTGAATTGTCGGTCTTTTGTTTGTCAGCTTGTGTTTTGTTGGCTTAGTTGATGCATCGGGGAAGTTTTTTGTGCTGTCAGCAGTTTTCATTGCAGATGCAAGTGTTTTAGATTTTCTCCTTAATTTGTAAAATGAATAGCCCTGACGTTGTATATTTTCCTTGGTTTTCCTTTTTTCGCTTAAAAGTTAAATTCGGCCTAAATGGTTTCAGTTTATGTGTTATCGACTGATGTACGTTATTTTGTGTCGCTTCAATGGGGAAAGTGATTGATTTTTTGAAAATTTCGGGTTTCAATGTGGTCCTCCAGGGTAGGTGTTGCAATCACCACGTCATCTACGTAGCACAATACTAAATTGCCGTTTTCTCCGTTACGCTTGTCAGCGCCTGTGCCATTAGTCGTTGGAAGGTGGCTGTCGCATTGCAAAGGCCAAAGGGCATCTTTTTCCATTGAAACATTCCCAGTTTGCATGGAAAACCCGTCTTGTCCCTGTCCTGCTTCCTCAGTGGTACCTGCAAATGGCCGACCCTAGATCAAGAGTTGTGAAAATTTTGGCGTCACAAGAAATAAAACCAAAGTTGGTCTCTTTTCTTTTTAGCCATCACTACTCCACACGCCCACGGTGAAAGACTTTCATCTATCCTAGGTATGGGATAGGCATCCTTCACCGTGACGGAGTTCAGATATCGAAATTCACAATAAAACCTAAATTGGTCTCCTTTCTTTTTAGCCATCACTACTCCACGCGCCCACGGTGATTTGGATGGTTCTATCATGTCATACTCTAGTAGGGTCGCTTTCTCTTATCTACATGCATCCGATTTGTTTGAGGTCATACGCCTCGCCCCTCCCTGTGCGGCACCGCCGGCTCTTCTAGCTCTATTTTATGTTCAACGAAGTTGAGCATCCAATGTCTGCCTTATGTCTCGAAAAAACATCCTGATTTCTATCTAGAACATCCTTGATGGCTTCGAGCTGTTCGTCTGTTATTTTTCCCCTTAAGTGTTGAAATTCTGGTAATACTGGTTTATCCATTTCCAATTCCTCTAGCGTGTGTCTTTCTGGAAAATTCGGACAGCTCGACAGTCCATCGTCTGTCTCCGACTTAAGTGACTTCATAAAACCTGATGAACATTTTATTTTCTTCAGCCTTCACAAGATACAAATTTCATTCCTATGATTCGGGCAATCAAGAAATTCGTTTTCTTTCACATTTTCAGTCATTTCATATCTAGTTTTCACGGGCAGTGCGTATCCTAGCTTCCTCTTCATCTGGATTGTGATTGGTATATCAAGAGTATTCAACAAGACACTGACGCAGAGGCCACTCTTGGTTATCGAGAAGGATCTTCCTAAAACAGCAGCACTTTCACTGTTTGGATTGGGTACTATAATCCTTGTTTACTGTCGCTTAGTTCATTATAGTTTTTCATTCGTAAACTTTTTATTGCCGCCTCATTCGCTTTCAGCCTTACCCTCCTACTCAAGAAAACCGGAGCCTTATTTTCATTCGCAATGAAATTCGTCATCAAATTTACCAGTTTAATTACGTACTTCTTCTCCGGGTTCCGAATCCTGAGCATCGCATTGTTAAGATCAATTGTTACATCGAAATTCCTGATGAAACTCTGCCTAAAATGAATTGGTCAGACTCGTCTAGATTCTCCACCACCAGAAAGCTCATCCACAAATTCCGTTCCCCCAGGTTTAGGGCTATTATTGGTGTCCTACCTATGACCCGAAGCGCCCCCTTGTTTGCTGCTGACAGCCGTATTCTTGAGTCAATCAGGTCGTCTTTGTCGAATCCCATTCTTCTCCAAGTCTCAATTGGTATTACACTTAAGACGGCTCACGTGTCCAACAACCCACACAGTTGTGTCTTCTTTCCGCATATGTCCAATACGTGTGCAGATACGCCTGCTTCCGTTCCCAGATGCATGGCATCCTATTCCAGCATAGCACTTTTAGGATCTTACTTTTAGTTCTTCTGCCAAGTTTTTGTGATGCCAAGTAGTTCTCCAGTACCCATTTTCAAGGTGTTGCAATTGCTCCTACTCATTGAGTTTTCTCCGGTCTCTGATTCTGGTCTTGTCATACAGAGTGTTTCATTCAATCTCTGTTTTTCTATTTCCTGTGTCAGCCGTTGTTCGATTTCTTTGGTCGTCAAGTCTTGTTTCAATTTGTTGATCTCCTCTGCAGCTGCTCTCTCGTAGTTTATCTTTAGATTATCTTTAGAGAGTTTCTCGTCTCGGTCCCCGTGGCAATTTTGTTTTTTGTCACGGCCTTCACGGTCTTTGTTGATAATTCACCACCCGCTGCTTCTTTGTTGTTCAAATCATTTTCAGCTTGTCTGTTCCTGGTATTTTGCACTGCAGCCAGTGTTTCGGGTGATTCTGATTCTTCGCCGCCTCCCAAAACAATGGCCCATGTCATGGCATCTAAGTGAGGAAAATTTTGGTGAAAAGAAACGGGTTTTGGGGTTTTTTTTGTACTAGAGCTCTAGAGGTGGTACTGGGATAATGGATCAGGTATCCCATTGTTCTACATAAGGCACAGGAGAATTGGTATTTATGTACCCTCCTAGGACCCTTAGGGAGGTCTTGGTACACTTTGGTACGGTCGTAGTACTTTTATGTACCCTCCTAGGACCCTTAGTGTTCTTTTGGGACACTTTGTTACTGTCCCAGGATTTTTCTGGACCCTCCTAGGACCCTTCGCTCAGACTTTGGTACACTTCGTTGCTATCCCAGGACTTTTCTGAACCATCCTAGGACCCTTATCTAGATGCCCCAAGTGTTGGGACACTTAGATCACTATCCCAAGACTGAGTGTTGGGACATTTAGATCACTATCACAAGACTTCCGGCAAGACTCTTGTACTTCTTTTATCTTGTAGCTGAAGTGTTTCTTCGCCTGATTGAAGAATTCCCTTGTACCTTATGTCGAATATTGGGATACCTGATCCACTATCCCAGTACCACCTCTAGAGCTCTAGTGTAAATATAATCCCCAAAAGCCAATTCTGTTCACCAAAACTTTCTTTACTTCGTCTCCTAAAATTACCTTCCCTGTTTCACTCCGAACACCGAAAAAAGTCGAAATACGACTCGTTTGTTAGTCTGAAACTCGAGCCGATTCGTTAAAATAGCCCTACTAGTGGTCTTATGGGGTATTCTCCGTTTGGGTTCCAAAAACTGTCTATTTCCGATCCCCCCACCCGATCCGACCAGGTTACCTACCTTAATTCGATCTCAAGTTTGGATCCCCTCGCGTTGCAACTCTTGTTCTGAGTCTATAGATGGATCTTTTTAGACTCTGGGTCTACTTATGTAGCTAAATTGACGATATTGATTGTATAGTTACTATAATGTGTCCCTCCTTTTTACAATTTTGTACCGCCAACCTCTATCTTAACCAGCCCTTCTTCTAACCTCCCCCCTATATAAACCCCCACTTACGCCGAAAAACACCCTTAAGCGCAATGGGTGCTAAACCTTTCTAGAAAAAGTCCGTAGAACCTGTTTCCAAGCTCTTTTCAAGTAAATATATTTCCTCAAAACAGTGGGTATCCGCTTATCCAATTTTAAACTTATTTCCTATAATGTAACGTGGATTTTATTGATACCTGGTTGACCAAACAGAACGACTCTGAGGGCCTTCCTCCGTTTGCTCTGTTCTGCTTTGATCACACTGCTGGCTGGTCACCTGCCGGTTGATCACACTTTCCCCCTGGGCTGGTCACCTGTTCCAGTCAAGTCTCCCAGTGGTCAAGTCTCCCAGTTGTCCGCTTTCCCACTTCGTTGGTCACCTCTTCCAGTCAAGTCTCCCAGTGGTCCGCTGATGTCACAAGCTATCTGAAAACATTACAACACCCCACACTTGGGCACCTGTACAACGTTGCTGATTTGATCGAGATGATCGGTCTTATTGGAAAACAGTATGGGTATACTATTTTAATTAATATAAAGGTTAGATCCACCTAATTTGGAAGTCAAAGCCACTGTCTTTTTTGAGGTTTTATTGTTTTTTGTTCCTGTTTCTAACCTTTTTTTGGTTTTCTAAATCGCTTTTCGTCTTTTACTCGTTTTTTTTGTCCCCCTAGTTGCCCCCTTTACTCGGTTAGCTAGGCCTCATTTCGGAAAGCACATGGGCAAATTTTCTCAAGTTTTCTTGAAAAGCTAAGACGGTACAACCAGAAGGTGAACATGTTCCCGTTGAACCGTACCAACGATACTCTAGAATGGGCATGTAGCCCGGAGCTGTGTCAAGTAGGTTTAATCCCGTAGTCTTGATGTCATAAAAACAACCAGGAGCGCCACAAAAAAAACTATGTAACAGTCGCCTACTTAAGTTAAATATGAGGTTGAAGAAAAATAGGCCCTATAACCATTGGCTCAAGAGTCAGGGACACTATCTCAACATAACAACAAAAATCACACTCAGAAAAATTCAATTAGCTGCTCACATAACGACATGAATTGAGTAACTAAACTATAAAACAACTCCAGAATTGATTGGGTAATTAATTTCAACTCAAGAAGCCTGAAATAAGCAAATTTTAACTCAAGAAACAAGTTTTTGGTCTGGACATTGGGACGCTTCAGCTGTTCACCTTTCCACCGAAGGCTCCACCGAAGACTCACAAATCAAGACTAAACGCTTTCTCAAAGTCAAACTTCCAAATATGACCGACTGGCGCTTAATCCCCGGACTCAAGATCGATGTCCTCATCGCGTGTTGTCGTCTGTCAGTGAACCCCCAGAATAATGAGTGCGTCTCAAGATACAGTGCCAGTGGTCATATACAGAAGTTTGCAGCAGATTAAACTTTATCTACAGCCCAAAATTCACAACCTTGCAAAATTGTCACATTATCGCTAAACAGCAATCAAAGTCTGCATACACGTGCCCCCTGAATTTCCGCTTTGTAAGCCAATGATTAAAAAAAAATTTTGTTTTACCCATTCAGAAAACTTTCATGCAGAATTTTGGTTTAAATAGTGAATATAATATACTAGTAACAAAGTTTTTTTATTAAAATTTCTTTTCCATGCCCTCAGATTTCGTCTGAGTTCACACTCAAGACCCTTCTTCTGTAACATTCTTCTACTGCAGTCACACATGAGGCTTAAGAAAAATAGGCCCTATAACCATTGGCTCAAGAGTCAGGGACACTATCTCTTGTGTTTTTGTACCTCAAATCAGTCGGAGCCAATTCGGTTCGCTTGTGACATGAGACTACGACCCGTTACAGCTTAAAGGCTACTACTAAAATATCCCCCC